CTGGGCTTTGCACATCAGAGGAGGATCAATCACGTGCATCTATTGGTAGTTCTCTACTAAATATCAGTTTCAAGAAAATTTGGGGTAGGATTTGCCTTCTCATGACCAAAGAAGTCAGAAACACCGGAAAAAATGTTGGCTCAAAAGTAAAAATCTTCTATTCCATAGCTAAAGTATTTAATGCACTGCTTTTCTCAGAGAAGGAGGAGGAAGAGTAGGGTGGAGAAGGAAGGGGTGGAGAGTGATGGCTCAAGTTCAGATCAAAGGGGCCTGATTCCCATCTCTAGGTCCTCGGAGACCTAGAATGAACACACAGCACTGTGGGTCACCAGTGGCATCCTTGTGCCATTCAGCTTGGAGCCTCAGTATTCTCAACTGGAAAACGTGGGTGATTTCCCCTGCCTGGCCCATCTCACTGGATAATAGATAGGAATGTTCTGCATAAGTATAAATGCTAGACCTAGAGGAGGGGTGGTTAATTTCCAAGCCCATGCCACCCCTTCCTCCCCACTCCTGCCCGTGTCTTACCTTTGTTAAAATCTACGAGACCATTTGGATCTATAGAGAATCATATGTTCCCCACCTATGCTGATGACCGATGGCCTTCTGATGCTGAAAATGTCCCATGATCCTTGAACTATTATTAGGGATGGTTACATTGGCAGAGGGAGGCTATAAACAGCCAGCACGGGCATCATTAACCTCTGGGTTTCCCATTTCAGGAGCCAGTTTCAAAATAAAACCTTTGGGGAGAGTGCATATCTGCAGTTCTTCACAACACACTGAAAGGAAAGGGAATTACACTTTGCGAGATTGGGGAATCTGTCTTCCATGAGTTTGCTCAGCCCCTGCCCTTAACCCTGGAATGTTGGTTCCAAACTGCTACTTGGGCCTTAAAGTTCAGCCAAGTTGGGTGGACTTCTGGGTGCCTCCTCTGCTGGCTGGTCTGAGACGTGTCCCAGGAGAAATATCCACAACTACAAATGGGGCAGAGTCTCAAGGAACAGCAAGGGGGTCAGGGAGGGAGGAGTTCGGGGTGGAGGGACTCTGGGGCTCTCACTCCCAAGCCCATGCCTGCTCTGGAGCTACCCGTGGGGATTTACACCTCCCACAGTTTCATTTGAAATACCCTTGAGTTCCAGGTTCCCATGGCCTAATAGGCTGCAGCAAACCATTCTCTTATCGCCCCCTTCCCCTGACACACATTTGTAACCTCGCTTCATTTACCACCCCCACCTCCTCTAAAGCAGCCGGGATATTTTAAAACCCTTGTTTTGATCTTCTTTGCATATCAGTTACACTATTTCTGAGCGTGTTTATTTTATTTTTTTTCCGGTGGTGAGCCCGTTGCTTTGAGCCGTCTACTCGCACGTTTCCACTTCCCCTCACTTTCCTGTGCGCTGCTGTGGCCTCCCGGCCTGTGGCTCAGGCTAGACTGAATGATTCTCATGGGGCTGTGGCCTTTGAAGGAGCCAGGGGAAGTAGGTTCTCCTACCCCTGGTGCTCCATCGCTCCTGACATCTGCAGAGACAAGATAAAGTTTCAGTTATGTTTTCTCTGCCTCATCTCCCCCAAAAAGCAGTTCTGATGATCAGTCTGGGGGATGGGGATAGGAGAAGGGCCCTGGACTGGGAGTGAGAGAGACCAGAGTTTTAGTTCCAACTTTGACACTGACCTTGAAAAAAGTCTCTACCCAATTTGG